GGGATAACCATGCTTTCAGACCACGAGATTCGCGGGAAGTTGAAATCACCAGTCATTATAATTTTATCGTAAGTGTCCATGATGTAATCTAAGAACTTTTAAAGGAGAGAAGCCATTTTGACGAGGAGTCAGGAGCTCTGTAGCAGCAGACAACAAGGATTCGTGCATTGTTAGTGGCGCATTCAACGCAGACGATTTCTAGTTCAGTATCTAATTGATTAAAGCATACTTGCTTGGTTTCTGTAAAAGAAGACTCTTTTGTAGCTATTAGTACGCCGCCGCCGGTTTTACATTTACGGTCGACACGGAAAACGTTATAATCTTGACGTAAAATTTCTGCATCAAAGTGTTTATCGGACAGCCACGTTTCAGTGAGGAAACCGATGTCTATTTGCTCCGAGTATACAAAATCTTGAAGACTTGAATTATTTGATATCATATCTCCATCAGATGTTCTATGTAAACTAAACAAACTTCGTGTATTCCAGCTCAAACAGCGAAATGTCTTACGTTCAGTCGCGATGGTGTTGCTTCGATTATTTACGACGGATGAACAGTGTTCGAGATGCTCAGATGAAATTACTGGACCAGGATTTAATTCCACATCGTTAGCTAAAAGAATTAACAGCAAAGGCAAAGACGATCTCTGTAACAGTAACAGTCCGTGCACAAAACGATGAACCGAGAGCAAAGCCGCGTTACATGTCTCTTAACACGACGAAGTCCATAAGAATACGGTGGTCCATGCATTTTCGTTGAGGCATAGAACAAATTAATCTTGGTTTCATTCGTAGTTTTTATTCCACGTACAACCAACCACAGAAAAACAATAACGTAGATGAATTTTGGGAAAATCATTTCTAATAGGATTAGGAATTGTATAATTTTGTTCTTATTAATTAGCGCGCGCGCTTAATTAAGCGCACGTGTTGGCGTGTTCGTTTGCACTCGTGAGATTAACCGTCCGTTTAGCTTGCGCGAGCGGAAAAGGCAACGAGAAATGTCAGATTTGGTACAAAAATAAGCACAAATCCACCAATTACTCAATAAACGACCAAGATAATTTAAAAAATACCACAGATTTTCCAAGACGTCGACTTTATCTACCAATTCGTTATATATTTTGTTTACAAATCCAAAGAAGCAATGACAAAATCATATAATTTTACAGAGCAAGGCGGCACACGGCCGCCTGTGCTGGCGTCACGTCACGTGTTTCCTTCCCATTGTAACTTCAACATACTGCGATATATCAAAATCTGTGATTACTAAGGTTTTTATAATTTATTTACATTAATTAGATAATAAGTAAAGGGATTTTGCTTTTCTCTTAAAAGAAAAATATGTTTTGGTATTTTTAATTTCGTCATCAAGAAAATTACGTACACTTTCATCAATGTATTAGTGTGGAAGTGGAAAACCACACCAAGGCCGAAGGGCTCAAATGTGTAATTGTTAGCTTTGAAATTTGATTGGTTGCCAATCTTTCCTAATTAGCGGACGAGGTTGAGTGTGGTATCGAAAATTATATATCACGGCCGAGGCCTTCGGCCAGTGGCGGCGCCAGGCTTCCAAATTTGGGGGGGCATTTGAGGGGCAAACTCAAATTTTTGGGGGGCAAGATCGAATTTTTAAAAAGGTCGCCCCCCAGGAAATTCGCCCCCCCCCCCCTCAAAACGTGGCGATATTCCTAGGAATATCGCCCCCAGGGGCGAATACCCTAGGAATATCGTCTCCCAGGGGGGTGGGGCGAATACCCTAGGAATATCGCCCCCCATATATGCGATGTGGTTTATTCAAATAATTTCGTGATACTTTCATCTTATTATTGCCTTACACGTTTGAGAATTTAACTCTGCAAAACTAAAGCTTTTTTGTCTTTTTTTGAAACGTATTATTGGAGTAATGGCAAGTTTTACCATTCAGAGATTTACAAACTAATATTGAAACTGTAAAAAACAGTTTCATGTATATGCGTATTCACAAATGAGTAATGACAACTTATAAGCCATACATTTTCCGATAACGACAGAACACTTGTGTAGCCTTTAGTCGCTCTTAGTGACTAATAATTTTTTTGAGGGGGGGCAAAATGGGGGGGGGCAAAAAATAATTTGGGGGGGGGGCATTTGCCCCC